GTACCGGAGCATACCGCCTGCAACCCACCATTGCAATATTCCCTTGAAAAGCATTTAAACAGAAAACAATCTGGTGTAAATTTTAAATATCTATTACTTCACCCTTTACCAAATTCTGGACATGAGAGCCATGAGAAATGAAGAGAGAAGCATTCTTGGGTTAGTAGAGTTACTAACTGCTGCCTTGCATAAAATAATAAGCAAAGTACATTTATTCCTAGGCACTTTCACAGAAATCCCCAGACAGATTTCCCAGCATCAGCTTCCTCTTCCATGCCCTTTGACATCAGACCTTTTTTTTACCACCCACATGCATCACTAAAATGAAATTCCAAATGGCTATTTTCAACTGCTTGACTCATTCACCCACCCTTCTAATGTGTTTTGCAGGGCAGAGCTGAATCTAGAAAATACTTTTCCTTTTCCACATATGGATGTTGCATTAACTTTCATGGGACTTGCCTTCAGGCAGCAAATGAAAGGTAATGTAGGGTCATACAAGGAAAAGCAGCCTGCAGATGCCGCAAAGTATATCGTAAAGACAGAGAAAAGGAAAAAGCAACCCATGTGATTTTAAGGGCAGTGATCACACAAATGTAATATTCACATGATCTGGAAAACCAGCCTGTAGTAATTTTCAAAGTATGAAGAACAATGGAGGATTCATTTATCATATATGATAAGATAAATATAATTTTCTGTTTTTTACTCCAGATCCTTTAATAAGAATAGCATAGCTTAGATAAGCACAAAGGAGCCAGAGCACTCATCACCATTTATTCTTTCCTTGTTTGGCCCTTCTTGGAGATTTCTTGGTGCATATATGCTCCTCGATGTATATAATATTATTTCCTTGATATGTATTCCTCTAAAATGCTAAGTAGCTGTTGTATATTTAAGGTGAAGTGTCTTTAGGAAATGAGCAGCAGGCATAGTGGGGTCATCTATTTCTACTACTTCAAAATGTATGGCAGTATCAAGCAACATCCAGCCAATTAGAGATTTTGACACAAAACTTTTTGCCGTCTGAAAAAATCCATTTTGAGCTATGCCAGAGCTTTCTGGATTCAAGAATGATTCTCTTTCTTCACTAGCCTATCTTCCCTGTCTTGATGATTTCTTCTTCTGGAAACCATTGTCCCGAGCATGTGATTTGAATATCATTTTATTTTGGGTAGCATTGAATTTGTACATTTGTTTGCTCCAAGAATGAGTCAGCAAGATAAAAAAAAAACTTACCCTTTTCCAATGTCACTCCCAGGAATGTTTAGATTTGGCAGTAAGCTAAATCCTTGAAAAAGAAAGTATCCATTAATAACTCATACCTTCTGCTACTATTTCTCATTTTCTCTTATACAATTCAATATTAACATCAATGGGAATAGCCAAAGTTATAAATCAACTATGAATAAAATTTGAGCCATTTGTTTTCCTTTGGAAAGAAGGATAATTGATGAAATGGATTAGTGGCTGCTCTTCTTCCGTTCTAAAGCACAAATTTAAAATACAACAAAATTTGCATAAGAAGTGATAACAAGAGTGACTTATTTAATGAACAATTTATAGTATGCTTATGGAAACCACTTTCCATCCCAGAATTAGGATAGGTAAAGGCATATCAATTGTATTCATACATATTTTAATGACATTCATTTACTCATAGATATTTGTCATCAAACTTTTTAAAAATTCCTCTCCAATATTCGAAAACTACATTAAAGACATTTTTAATAATTAAACCCCCTTCCCCATTGCTATAATAGTAAAAGTAGTATTTACAGTAGTTTTCAGAGATTTAAAACTTGAACAAATCCTCAAGGCAATTTTTTTAGCATAATATCATGTAGTCAGAAGATACTTCCCCACACTGTACAAAACGATCATTCTGTGGTTCCAATGGGGTTTCAATACCTAAAGAAGGAAGCACCATTCTACTCTGTTGCAGTACCTAGTCTGCAGTTCACAGAACTGCGATTTAATTGACAATATATATATAGAATGCTGGCTGGATAGATAGACCCAGTGGCATTGACTCCTTAGTCCCTTAGGACTGATAGGGGAGAAATTGCCTCTTGATGGAGAATTAAGGATTTACTTCTCTTTATTACTCTTGAGTCAAGATGTTGCTAACTTCAGCTCACTTTCTTCTGCTTTTGATCCAAGCACACATGGGAAAGCTGGTGCTCTTTGATTTTTGTCCTGGTAAAAAATAATCAGTTTGGTGCTAAACTATGTACTGTATTTCCTGGGAAAAGATCTCCTTTTACTATAGTTACTAAACCTATTTCACTACATATTTCTCATGGCAGGTCATGCATATACAGAATGTGTTAACTTCCAAAAGGTTGCATATAGAATGCAGCCTCAGTAAGGTCTTCTTACTCACTTAATGTCATATTTAAACTGGATTTTAGTTACCTTAGCTATTCGAATGCAAGGAATGCAAAGGTATTAAAAATGTGCTATTCTTCCCTACCTGTTATCTATGTATTTCTGTTTCTGCTGATATCCTAGTTTGTTTCTAGTTGTTTCTTTCCATATTCTCAAAGATATATGTTTGAACTATAGAATAGTATTCTTAACAGAATAGAATTAAATAGTACTTTTTATTCCATTTTTCCTGTAGGACAATTGCTTGCACTAATGTAAGAACATTTAGGAATTCCAAGAAAGCCAAGAAGAAGAAAGCAAAAACAGCAAGTCATAATTGTATTTATATTGTCTCCACAGGGTCATCCAGGTCAGGGAGGATCAAGAGGAAAACCAGGCCACGATGGTTGCAATGGGACCAAGGGAGATCCAGGTCCACAGGGAATTCAGGGACCTGGTGGGACTCCTGGTTTTTTTGTGAGTTATGAACACTGAATAAATCAACATAAAGCTAACAGCAAAATCAAGAATAGATTGTTCCCTTCTACTAAGTGAGAGAAAAGGGTTTCCATTGCTGGAGGAAGCTTAGCATTCTTGTGAATCTACCATATTAGGATTATATGCTGAAGTCCTACAAAAGGTGGATTGCCTAAAGCTGAAACATAATTATCAGAAGAAAATTCCAGGTTGACTAGTAGTCATTTTGGAAAACTTTGCAGTTCAGTCATCCTATGTGCTCATTAGTTGAGGACCATGATTGATTATAATGACAATTTTCAGAGGGGGGAAATCATAATAATTTACAGGATTTTTTTTAAAAAAAGGAGGGGGAAAACTTCCTGCTTTCTTGTTTTGAGACACATTAATAAGATTGCAAAAATACTTGTCCTTTCTGTACTGAAAGAACTTGCTCAGTTTCATAGGGATATATAACATATTTTAAAGTGAAGAAATAATTAATTTTCCTCTGTTTGGTGAGCAGTATCTGAGAAAACAAGGTATCTTGTTGAGGGTCCTTTTTGGCAAAAACCACCACAATGAACCCTGCTACTCAAAAAAATAGAAGTGGAGTTGGTTCAGGGATCATCTAAATTCCTAATTCATAGAAACAGTTTTGCTACTTAGAGGAAAAATTAAATAACATTTGAAGAATTATTTGTTCATTCTATGAAGATAGCCCATTTTAATTTCAAATGGGAGAAAGGGTTTGACAGTGTAAACAAATGTTTTAATTTATTAATCAATGATAACCAATGTGTAGGGACAAAGGAATGAGTCATTGGAAGAGCTGTGGTTGATGGAGTGCTAAGGATCCATATATATTTTTTTATTCTGAGTTTCTTTATAATGAGGGAGATAGTTTAGAAAGTTTATTTATTTATTTCTTTTTCAGCTGCATGGAGATTTACATCACATCTTTTGTATGTCTGGAGCGCGAGGGGTAGAATGGTATACTTTATCAGGGCTTGAAATATTCAGCAAATGTTAGTTCCTTATCTACGGGAGCTCCCATGGTGAGATTTGCTGAAGGCAATCAGACACAGATGCATCATTGTGCATCTTGAGTTGTGAGACAGCTTGGGCTCTCCTTCAAGCATACAGGGGTTCAAGTATGTTCTAGGGCTTACTGTTAGAGGGACAATAGGATTTTGTGCTTCCCTATATGACATGCTTTCTCAAGATCTAAAAGTCCCAAAGTGCCATGTTGTGCATATAGACAAAGAGGGACAAAGAACCATGTTGCAAGAGATAGATACCAGGGATGGTGGAAGCAAGCAATAAGTTGTGGCAGGGGATACAACTACAAGTTTGTACTGAAAGAAAAGACCATCTCTGATCTCATAATGGTGGGGAAATGTTTTCCTGTTTTTCAGTCATTATTTTCAAGGGGACATAATCTGGAAGCCACAAAAGAGGGGCTTGAGCATTTGATCCTAGAACTGATCTTGCCAATCCCCAATTTACTGCTGGCTTTTCAGTTTGGAAATTGACTCTATACAGTCCAGTTTTTTCACTCTCTTCTCATTTGGATGGTTTAGAATAAGCAGAGCGCAAAATGCAGTATCAGTACCACACATGGCCCCTCTATCTCTCTTTATTTTGTTCATAATTAACCCTTGGAATAATTTCAATTGCTAACAGCCATTCACATTTTCAGGAATCACGTATCAATTATGATGTAAAGTTGTCTTAATGATCCCCAACCTTCAAAATAATAGGAAGAATTCTACCTATACCCAGCATTTGAGATGATCCTATAAAATCCTCAAGAAAAAGAATCGTACTTTGGAAGGGAATTTGGAAGTCTTGTAGTTCAACACCTAATCTAGTGCAGGAATCCTCAGACAATTCTGGACAAATGGCTGAAAATTTTTATTTTCAATCACTTTAGGGAATCCAGGGACCCAAAGGTCAGAAGGGGGAGCCTTTTGCACTGCCGGACGAATTAGCGATAAAGTTCAGGGTAAGTCTCTGTGAACAGTTATAATCTGTTAGGAAATATATATTCTCCTTATTGTTTTCAAATAAGTGCCTCAGATGTTTCCATACAAGTGAAAAAAACATAATTTCCCTTATTCTTTCACCTTCTTTTATACTTTATCAAATCCAGACTTGCAGAGGCTAGACTAAAGTTTGCTTTCACATTTTTCCTTAGCTTTATTCTTTAGCAATCATAAAAGAAGCAGCCACATTGTGGCTTTCATTTATAAAACACAGCCAGTTTTTAGTTTAAATAGAATCATGTCTGTATGCTCTTTGAAGTTGCTGGGCCAAACCAAACTGAACCAGACATGATTCTTCCATTAGTGTATGTGTGTATATACATACATGTTTGCATATTCATAGACATATAGTACATGCGCATGTGCGCACACACACACACAACCTTTTTCTTTTAGTTATAAGTATAGATTTCATTGTATTTACAGAACTTTATTTTTCTATTCATTTTTAACTTTCAGATTTTACAAATAACCATAAAGGTTTTTGTAAGAAATCTATAAAGTTCTATTTGTGGACATCTGAAAGTTTCAGAAATAATTCTTTATCAGATTCCATAATTCCTTCAACAATGACAGAGTGTTTAATATACTGTAAAAGTTGGGATACATCCAGAGATGTATCTGCCTTGAAAATAGCCCATGTTGAACTGTGAAGCACAGTCAAACATCAGAAAAGGAAATGTTTTATGACATTTTATGTTATGTCATTAAATGTTTTATAAAATTTGCCAAATTTCAGTTCCATGAGAATAATGGCTCCTGATTTTGTTCACATTCTGTAAATGAGCTGATTTGAGGTATCTTGGTTCAAAAATTGTTCCCCTATGATGCACCATTTTGGTGCATTAAAGGCTAAAGGTTGCAGGAATGAGAGTTTTAGTAGTATACAAAAATGTATCTTCAAGTTTACTAAAACAACATTTCCCATTTTAAATTGTTCTTCTCTAGGGAGACCCTGGTGACCCGGGCTTGACTGGCTTCATTGTAAGTAACATTGCGATAGATAAATTTCTATAATAAAATTAGCTATCTGTAAAATAAAATAAAACACAATTATTATTTTGAAAAAATATCTTTATTTATAGGGACCACAAGGTGCTCCTGGACTAGTGGGTGAACCTGGTCTAGAAGGAGACTCAGGTCTTCCTGTAAGTATTATAAAATTCTGGGATTATGACAGTAGTTTGACATTCTTTATTATGGCCAATAACTAGAAAATTTCAATAAAACAAACAGTAAACAATAAAAACAAAACTCAGCAATAAAGCAGAATAATAATAAAACAATAGAATTAAGAATTAAGACACAGTAATAAATTCTTGACATGCTCTATATTCAATTGAACAAAATTGCACAACATTGAAAAATACATTATTGTGTTATTCTGATTGGATAATAATTAAAATAAACTTGTGTGGCTTAATAACTTGATGAATTTTTTTATATAAAAATATGCAGTTATCCTTGTTAAAAGCACACTGTGAGAAGAGTAACATATATACCCCTAGCTTGTGTAGACAAAGCTAGCTATATTTCTTAAATTGTTCTTCCAATACTGGTCTGGGTATCATATTGAAATGTGTTGAAATGGTAACGCTTTTCTTAATACTGATACTGTAAGATGATGTAAGTATTTAACAGGCCTGATGTGCTAAAGATAAGTTTCTAACATGGAAGGTAAATGCTCTCACCTCACAATCAGGAGGTTGTGCGTTCAATCCTAGATAGAGGCTAGATGACCTGCAAGGTCCCTTCCAACTCTGTTAATCTTCTTAATCTGTTAAAATCCTTAACTCATTATCTTGGTGCTAACTTATGGTGCTAGTCTTATCAAAATTATCAAAATTCATCTATGATAGAATTTCTTGAAACAAATTGTAATAATGCAGCATTTACTCTCTCTTCCATTTAATGCTAATGGAACTAGTCTTAACAGGTGGCGAATGTGGTTAGCCATGTCACTTACAATCCAAAGTGTGTGGAGGTTTTTACTAAGTATAGTTTTATTTATTTGTTTATTTATTTTACACTTCTCAACCACCCATCTCCCTTAGGTGCAATTATTTATAATGATTGATGAGATAAAGAATTGACCTAGGAATGATGATATCCAATTTCTGTGCTCTCTACAGTATATAATTCAGAGATGCAAACTGTCTGCTAGGGAACTGAAAACTGACATCAAAATACTTAAAAGTTTTTAACCTGTTCGGGTAACAAGTTTGGCATCTAGCAAAAGTGGGGATATTGCTATTGCAGCATCTCGCTACAATTGAAAACGAGAGGATGTTGTTGTTATTTTACTAGGCTTATATGCTACTCCAATCATTGCTAATTCTGAGCACCTTAAATACTCCTTATCTGTAAGCAGAATTAAAGCAATATAAATAATCAGCACTTACAATAAAAATCCCAACTGTTTCAGTAACAGTAGCATATTCATAACATCTCCATGCACCTCAGTTAAATCTGCACTCCCACTGTAAGGGAGACTATGTAGCCTTGTGCCAAATTGGGTCTGGGCCAATACAACTTGATTATCTACATAATGGAATATTGTAGCGGACCATCAGTTTGAAGGGAGGGTTTCCATTACTTCAATGTTATGAGGAGTGGTCACATCCTCACAGATGGCAGCTCCAAGTAAAAGAAATGGTGTATGATGTATATGAAATGTGGACTATCACAAATTTTAAAATTTTTCTGTTTTTCCTTCTATTTAAATAAAGTTTAACATGCTTATAATTTAATAAGTAAAATAAATTACTGAAATTAAATATTTATTACTTTTATTTAGAATTCTCATTTTTGAATGTATGTATTTTAAGTAGACTTAGTAGACAATCTGTGAAGTAACTGATGTATTTCCATGTATTTACATGAATTGAACACTTCTGAGAGATAACTTGGTTTCTAAAACATTGTTTTTAGGGACTTCCAGGACCCCCAGGACCTCCAGGGCCCATTGTAAGTATTTGAGGACTCACCTTAGATTTATAGACTCTGATGTTTTCTGAGGTGAATCAAAATGTCTAAAATTGTTGTTGTTGTTGTTTGAAAGGGGAACATGAGATATTGTAATACTGTAAATTGTTGGGACACAATGGAATAAACATTTATATGAAATCAGTTTTGAGCATTTTTTTTTTAGTTTTAGTGCTGGTTCATACAAAATTCTTTAATATTGCATTAACTTTTCCTCTGAAAATAGAATATTTGCATCTGACTCAGATAAAGAGGCAGAAGTGTAAATGAAGAAAGTTAATCATTTCCATTCATTCCTGCCATCAAATTGCATTGGCCCTTTATAGTTATAAAAACTGAGGCAGTTATGCATTTTTTCAGTGATTTTATATAGCTACAAACTATTCATTTGGCTGAAATCATATATATATATATATGATAGGAGCTTCAATTTTATAGGAAGAAATCAAACTAGAAGCATTTTCATCCATATAGCAAAACCTTCCCAAGCACCTGGCATAGTCAGATGTTGTTTGATGGTGTTAAAGTATTATAATTAGTATTATTGATAACCACACACTGAATATTTCATTGATTAAGTTTTTCAGTAGGAACTTAACATACTGTATGTTATGGGACATATCAAATCTCAAGAATATTGTCTAAGTAAATAAGTATCTAAGGGAATTATTTTATTTGATGTAAAACAGTATTAAAGTCCTGATATTACAGAAGAACATGTAGTTTCTGGTATGCCATTTGGTTAAGTATGTAGGTGTAAGTTAAATGTTCATTAACTGTCATTTCAGGGCAATAGAGGTCTCGGCTTTTATGGAAAGAAAGGTGAAAAGGTAAAATGAATTTAATCAATTTGCATTTCATGTGGTGGACATAACTTTGTGCAATCTATGCAAATTGTTTTTGAGGGCAAATTAAAGTACTAGAAATTCAGTTTTTAAAAATCCCTATGTTCTTCAATCCATCCATTGTCTTCAGATTCTTCAGATTCTGAGAATCAAATGTTCTTCATTTTCACTGAATGCATATTTCATGTTGTTTACATTTTCATTTTGCCTATTAAACTTATCTTTGTGGCTTTTCTGAAGGGTGAAATTGGACCTCCTGGTCCACCTGGGCGTCCATCAACAGGAGAATTCATCAGTTCAATAGATGAAATTCTAAGTGAACACAAGGTAATTAGAAAAATTATTGAAAATTGCACAGTATTCATTCCTTTGAAAAATAGGATTGCTCTATCTAGCCTTCCCCACTTTAGGTCTTGTCTCTCTTTTGCTATATTGGATTACTGCAGTCTTTTCTGTATCCACATCTTTTATCATCATTTTACCACCTTTTTACCCTCAAACTACTTCCCTCACAAGTTGTGCCAATAATATTTTCTTTTCTTTTTCTCTGGAGATCAATGGCAACTTAAAGAGGCCTTGCTTCCACCCGTACCCACTTTCATATTCACAAGAACATCTTAAGCCCATGTGGAAATAAATACAAGTATCTGAGAAGTTGGTGATCAGTGTTTGTCTGTGAATCACTTCTGAAATTACAGAAAACTTAAATGCAAAAATAAAAGAAGTCAACTGTGCATTTGTTTGATTTATTTTATATGAGATAGAATCTATCTTTGCTGTTTGTGCTGGTCCTAAATTTAAATAAAGGACAAGAATATTATCGGTATTGTCTGTTGAGCTTCACTCAAGGGGCAAGGGTTTGAAATGTTGAAACTACCATCAGCCACTCCAACTTAATGGTGTTAAGTTGTATCCATCATCTGGTAGAGCTTCAGATGTAACCTAATTCTTCCTTCCTTTAGCTATTTTCTATTCCTTTGTTCATATACCTTTGCCAACTGGGTTATTTTTCCTACAAATTTCTGTCAGTAAATATCTAGGATCAGCCAACGAGGCATTTGTTGACTCTTCCTAGACTGGCATCTCTGAGTTAGGCCTGCATTTTCACTTAAATCTCATGCTAGGTACAAACAAACAAACGAACAAAACAGCAAACACCAGCACTTTAACTAACAGTGCAACTCCTACCAAACATAGATCACATTAATTTTTCTAGGAAAAATCAATCCACTTAAGACTAATGTTGATTTAAATGTCATGGGAATAGATAAATCAGTCTTATCTATGGGACAAAAAATCTAAGAACTTTTTCTCTAAATTTAATATAAATTTAATATAATATAAATTTAGAAAAAAAATATTTAATATAAAATGAATAAAATATTCACACTTAAGCCTTTCTGTTATTCAAGTGGTGGCCTTACTTTACAAAATAATTTACCTGTATCTCAAGTTGGAAAAGTTCTCCTGTGAAAACTGCCCCTTAGAATAATTTTATATCATGTGATGAAACAGTTCCCTATACCGTACAGGTGAAACACTCTGATGGTTTCAAAGAAACATTTTGAATGATGTTGTTTTATTCCTGCCTTTTTTTGCCTTTCATTTTGTGCTTACCTCTTAGGGCAGGGCTGTGAAACTTGCAGCCTGTGGGCCAGATGTGTCACATGCTGACCACGCTCACGTCTGTGAGCAAATGGGGGGAGTCGCAATATGTCACGTGATGACCAGAGATGGGTTGCTCCCAGGGTGAACCAGTAGTAGCAGCGGCGGGAGGCTCCACCCACCCACCCAGACGCTTCTGCACATGCACAGAAACGTGCATGCCCAAACCAGTAGTAAAAAAATTGGCAAACACTGGTGATGACGCACGTTTGACACTCCTGTCTTAGGGTGTATGTCTTCTGTGATAACATGGATAGAAAGTAAAATATATGAGAAGTACATTTTGATTCACATCAGACTATATTTGCAAATAAAATATTATGTCAGTTTACAAACTGGATTCTACATTAAAGAAAATAGAATTCAAGCTAAGTCTGCTATTCCCTCAAGTTTCTTTTTTCAGCCCTTCTGATCGATTTTGATTTATCACCAAAAATTGTCATACAGATAACTGAAACTGAAGTGTTCTAGCAGCTATAAATTTAGCAGATTATATACATACATACATACACACATACACACACAAACACACTTAATATTATTGTTGTTTTATATTATTAGGGTATGAAAGGAAGAAAAGGAATGATGGGACGACCTGGATTCCCAGTAAGTCCACAAGAAACACATTTATTTCTGTTCTGTGAAACACCTACACTATTTTAATAGAAAAGAGTAATATCTGGATTCATTGTTATTTCAATAATAGTGATGCTTGGTTGATAATATGATAATGCAATATTTTAGCTATAACATTTAAAGTAGTTATTTGAATTCAATATTTTTCTTTCAGAATTTAACATATATTTATAACTCAGACCATATAAAATGTTTTATTTCAGAATTTAGGCTATTTATAATTCATAACCTGTATAACTCTCTTTTTATTATTTCCTAATAGAAACTCCCATCCCATGATTTTTTAGCATATTTAAAGATGCATAACATCTCTACAGAGATCAGTGCTTCCCAAATAAAATACATTGGATACAAACTCTTTTTGAAATTGGAGAGCATGTCCTGGATGGTGCTACAAAATGGCTTTATGGGAGAGATAATAGATTTATGAAATGGCTGTCGTCATCAGTCAAAAAACACTGATGCACCGATCTTGATAACCATTAGTTGCTAACAAAGTAATACAGATATTCACCACCTTCTAGTGGTCATAGGGATTTGTGCAGCCCCAAACTGCTCATCTACAAGCAAATAAATTGGGTGAGGTTGCTGTCTGACCTCTACCTTTTTAGGGTATGTGAACAGATTTTTAAGCACATCACCATTATTTTCACATGTTATTTTCTTTGTATACCTCAGTGAGATTCAGCAGCAATTCTTGTAAATACAGATTGTGGTAGGGACTGGTGTTTTCTTAGTTGAATGACAAATTCATATTTAATGGAATCATCATAAAGAAGGGACCTTAGATCTAATACAGCCTACTCAGTACAGGAGTGTCTGGATCCATTGGAGCATCTTTCACAGATGGTCATTCAGTCTCTGTCTGACAGCAGGGTACTGAGTTTGAAATGAACAACCCCTCAGATTTACTTAAGATAATGGCAGGTGTTAGGAGTGATGTCTGTGGCATTTTAGCTCCTCTTGATATCAGCATGCCTTCGTTTGGAGTAGACATTGCAAAAGATCTTTTGCATATTCACGATAGACCTGAATGGGTAAAGATGTATTCCTTTATAGATATTTTAGTTAATTCAGCGTAATATAGTGCAGTATCATTAAGGAAATGGTACAGTCTAACCTAAAAATATTGTTTTAAATAACTCAATATTCTTTCACCCTAGAGATTTTTTCTGAAAGTATCATCATTTCTTTGAAAAGTTGATGGAGCAGTGAAATGACATCACTGTCAACCTATTACAATCTAACGATTTCTGTATTGTACATTCAACCTATTTTACATCTATTTGTGGTGATTTTTTAAAAATAATAAAATATTGTAGCATCAATTTATTTAATTCTGTGTTTTTTTTTTAAAAGGTTTTTAAGCAACCATGGCTTCTGTTACTCTCTTCAAAGCCATGGCATCTTCCATTAGGTAGCAACAATTACATTATAATTGATGGTGAACAATGATATAATTAGAAGTGTCTCACCTTCTCTGCACCATTGTGGAACTCAATTACCATGACTCCTTTCTCCCTCTCAACAACTAAATGGACAGGATCTACTTTCATTCAATAGTTCCTTTTTGCTGATTGAGTCAAATGTGATACTTTTTCATAACTAGCCTATCAGTTCTCTTAATTTTCCAAAATTTAGTTTCTGCTGATATGGGGGAAAGCTTTAATTTATGGGGTTTTTTTCCTGCAACAGGTAGGTGTTAGGTAACTGGGGAACTCAAAATTCAGTTCTACTCTCAGCCAGGACACACATTGGATCAAACTACCTGACAGATAAAACCATGTCAGCTGTCTTTGAGAAAAGGAAAAAAAGAAGAAAGGAGAAGAAAAAAACCCCTTCAATCTTGGAACACAATATGAAAAATCAAGACACTTTATTTATTAATCTGTATTTTTATTATTTTAATTTCTTTTATTTTATAAATAAATTCATTTTTTTATTCTTAATTATTTTAAAATTACTTTTTTATTTTATGTTTATATTTCACATTTAATTATTATAGTTTTAAAATAAAATAATTTTATTCAAATTTATAATTTAAAATAATCTAAAAATAGTAATACATATTTACTATTAAATATTAATTACTAATAATTTAACTTGATAGTTTAATTTAAGAATAATATTTTAATAATTTTAATTAAATATATTTTATTTTAATTATGTTAGCATTATTTTATTTTTAATTATTAATTACATTAATTCAAAAATTAAATACATTAGTAATTAAAATCAAGAGACTTTATTGTTAATCCTGCACCTGTAGTAATCAAAAACAATAATTTGGGGTGAACATGCAAAGAAGAAATCTTTGCTGAACAGAAATGACAAGCAAATACATATGATAGAAGAATGGGGGGCTGGCAGAAAATTGCTAATAATATACTGTACTACCTGTTACAGTAAGAGCCGAGGTGGCGCAGTGGTTAGGGTGCAGTACTGCAGGCCACTTCAGCTGACTGTCATCTGCAGTTCAGCGGTTCTAATCTCACCGGGTCAAGGTTGACTCAGCCTTCCATCCTTCCGAGGTGGATGAAATGAGGACCCAGACTGTGGGGGCGATATGCTGACTCTGTAAACTGCTTAGAGAGGGCTGAAAGCCCTATGAAGCGGTATATAAGTCTAACTGCTATTGCTATTGCTATTTAATTTTATTAACCACAGAGGAGTGCATCAAAGAAGCTAAAGAATTCTGAGTTGCTTCTCAGAAGTGAAAATAAAATGTGTTCATCTTCTGAGATCTGGAATTATTTTACTAACGATACAGAAAGCTTAATCTCACTGTAAATTCTTCTGATTTGCATTTCTTAAGGCAAAAGTAATTGTGAGGGACAAACATGTATTCCAAGCAGAGTTTTGCAGATAAAACAGAAATTGTGGGAGAGCAGGGAATGGTGCTTGTGTTTCTTTTGCCTCTCCATAACTATGGCAAGATGGACACATTGTGTTCTCTGGTCTATTTGCAGCCTGCTTGGCCTTAAGGTTCAACTTCCCTTTTTCTCTATCCCACTGACAATTTTATTTCCTACCTGTTCTTCACAATCTTCCTCTCCCTTGTTTTGCTTCCTCTCTGGCCTTTCCCATCCCTTTCTCTCTTTCTTCCACTTTCTCCCCGCATCCTTCCCATCCCTTCTCCTCCAACTTTCTTCCCAAAGAAATCAGGAGGCATATTTTTTCTTTAAGAGACGTGGCTATGGTACTGATGCTCCCTCTATTAAACAACAAAATATTGCAATTTTGTCCATTTTTTGAATAGTAAATTACCCCCTTTCTTGACTTGTTTGTTCCAAAAAGATGTGATACTTTTGTGTAGAAGTCTCCCTTCCCCTCGGTACTATTTTTCTTCTCCCTCCTTAGTTGTCTTCTGTTCTTTTTCCTGCAATTATAACTGGAATTGGATGATTATCTCTGAAAATATCTATCCAGGCTGTTAAAGCACCACCTACTGGAGATCAAATAAATGGCTGTGTCTTTTTCTTGCGGCTACAAGCAGGATTATCTGTAGGTTGGAGGGAAGTAAACTACAGCAGCTTTGAGTGTATTCATTCAATTTGATGTGATGTTTGCATGTATTATAAAGTTATAAAGTGTTAAATACATGAAAACATAAAGATAAATTGTCTCATAATACTTTTATAGAGGATAGCACAAAGATGCACACCTCTTAAACTGATGGAAAGTCTGCACCTTTGTTTTATCTATATCAACCTGTACTTAGAAAAGAATACAACTCATTTCCTTCATATACTTGAGTATACATAAAACCAGAATCCCTCAGCTCAAGCTTGCATTTTATTAATTGCATCCATTCAGTTGCCTTGACAGTATTAGTTTTAGTTTTTGTCCAGAAACAATAGGTGGAAACTAATCAAGGAGAGAAGCAATCTGGAACTAAGGAGAAACTTCCTAACTGTGACGACAATTAACTAGTGGAATAGCTTGCCTTCAGAAGTTGTAGGTGCTTCATCACTGGAGGCTTTTAAGAAGAGACTGGGCAGTCACTTGTCTGAAATTGTATAGGTTGTCATGCTGGACTAGAAGACCTCCAAAGTCCCTTCCTGCTGTATTCTGCTTGATTGATATTACAGAAGCATTTGCCATTAACTTCTTATGGATGTTTTTCAAGAGCCTCTTCATGCCTAAAGCTCTAGATGATTCCTTGACCAAATAATAGTCAGGGCTGTTCCTTCTTAGCTTCTGAGGTTGTCTATAAGCTGCCACTTGATGAGACCTTTGTAGAAGCAATATACCTGCATTATAGATGCATGTGAATGGGAAAACACATGCGTAGAGAGTTAGAACAGAAGGAGCTTCTTGGATGAGAATCTGAATGTTTTCAAGGTTCAATTGCCTTTTGAAAAAAAGCACCTATGGGACATGCTTAGAGGTATTTATTGCTGTCCTGCAAAGTGACTATTACTACTAGTTTGTGGCTGTACCCACTGTATTATTATAATGATCCTCTCCATGAAGTGTTAGTATTGCATGATAAATTACATATTATTATGCTACAATTGTGCAAATATTTTTCCCCACAGGGTTTTCCTGCACAAAAAGCAGAAAAGGGAGAAGAAGGAATAACTGGCTTTCCAGGACAAAGAGTAAATATATAACAAAACCAAGCATTAATTATGTTCTACCTAATTATTTCCTTCTATACTAAGAAAATGAAACCGTTTTCAGTTGTGTTTCTGGTACAGGTGGTCCTTTTCTTACTATCATAATTGGGACTGGCAAGTTGGTTGTTAAGTGAAACAGTCACTATGTCTGCGCTTATGATTTTACATTGGACAGTGCCTACTAACTGATTGTAGTGGCAAATACATGATGAGAGACTGGGGGAGATATGCCATTTTGGCATTGGTCACAAAAGTATTTTTTCAGCATCATTAACCAGAGAGGGTTGCAGTCTGAGGCAAGCAATAAGTAAGGACTATTTACCTACCCTATTCATATTTTGGGTGGATTTTCTTGTTGTTTTGCACATGTTTTGAGAGTCTGTTCTGAGAGTTCTGAGAATCGTCAGAAAAGAATATCCTCAAGTGAAACTGATAAGGAGCTTTGAATATTTCTCCTTTTCTAGTACTAAGCATCTCATTCAAGCCACTTAATTTCCTGGGTCAAGGAAGCATTTGTGGTCCAGACTTTTGTTGGAGGCACACAGTAGTCTTCATCGTGTGAAACAGTATTTAGTTGCTTTAGCCAAGATGTACAGTATTTTAGTGAGTGTTTAAACTTCTGGTAGATGAAAGTGTGAGAGCTAGACACTGGAAAGTTGAGCAGACAGTAGCCTGGAAAATCAAGAGAGTCTTTCTTGCACTCTTTGTGACTAAATGGAAATATCTGTCAGGTTTTCTTGGAAACCATAGAATGACTTGCCATTGTGTGTTCTGGTTTTGTTTATTTATTTGTGGGTATAAACTCTATAATCAGTGTCAGATGTTTGGTGGTAAAAGGTGGAATTCACATTTAAAGCTAAGACATCTGTCATTTCAGTCTCCTTTGTTCATTATCCTGGTCATCAAAAATATCAGGCTGATGGTCACTTTTAACTTTTGGGGGTTTATAGATATTTGAAATATATCCCAGTATTCCCCCATAATGTAGTTAGAATAAAATAAGCAGGTATCATTCCTATTTAATGTTCTTTTCTTTTAAAATCTAGTTGGGATAATTTAGCTTAATTCACAATAGAATAAAATTGGATCTCCAATATTGTATATTCATGTAGGCATAAATGGGCATAGGATGTATGTAAAAAATTCTGTCAAAAACCCATTGAATTTCAATATTTTTACTTGATAGTGATGGACCATATTGATATGTTTTTGGTGAATTTAGTCTGTTCACAGATAATGTAGCCCCCACAGCTAGGTGATAGCCAAGAAGTATTGGAAAGTTTCATTTCATTCTTCATATTGCATATGAAATTGGGCCTTTTAAATCTTATTCTTCATGAAGTTTAATTTCAATAAAAGCTATTTTAAAGAAACTGATAATAAGTATTTAATAACCTGGTTCTGTTTGTTAATGTTTATAGGGTTTGCCAGGAATCAATGGCCTAAAAGGAGCTGAAGGAGATGTGGTAAGTATGAAGTCCCAGAATCAGGTTGCTTTTTAGAAAGAAAGATAACGTAAGGACATTTTAAAAGGAAAATCNTCGGGGTTCTGGTGGGCGCCCAGTTGAAGAAGAAGAGTTGCTTCCAAATCACCAGCGTGACCCAGCGCAGATCTCGACAACAGCATCACCAAAGACATGGAGAACTATGACGACCTGGATGAGTCGCACACTGAGGACTTCTCCTCTGAGATCCTGGACGTCTCGCTCTCCCAGGCCACCGACTTGGGGGAGCCCGAGTGCAGTTCCCCCAAGCAGATGCTCAACAACTTCCACGAGCCAACAGCCCCAGCGCCATCTCCCCCAACCAGCCTTGCCCGGCCCAGCAGCCCCGAGGCCTGACCAACGGCAGCACCCACCTGCTGCCCCACTACATGCACAGGAGACACCCCCAGCCTCCCTCCCATGCTGGGGTCCCCCCACCTATGTCCAGAGGGGCTCCATCCAGCCTGTCCTTCCAGAGGCTACCCGTCACAGGGAGCTTGGAAGGTGCCAGGTCAGGGCCTGCAGGAGCATACTCTGTGGTGGCTCTTGCAGGGGCCACCGTGGCTCACTTCCATGCAGGGGCCACCTCGCCCGGGGGAACTGTGGCTGGTGCAGTGAGTGGCAGGGCTCGCCAGATGGGCAAGACCCTCATGAACCTTGCAGCTGCTGGCAACGGCATGACCCTGCCCGGAGGGAACCACCCTGGGAATGTTTGTTTCTTCGCATGCTGTTGGTAAATGTGCCCGGTCCAACGTCTTTCCAACAATTGAATTTTTTTTTCACATGGACAATTATATGTTGCGTGTTCTAGAGTCGGCAAACCAGACAATCTCTATATCTGCACAGTCATTGGAACAACAAAAAATATTGTATACCCACAAGCATTGTGAAATTAAACATATTAGAAACTTGCACTTTCTCTTTTCTTTCTTTTCTATTTAACCAGACTGGGCCACAGCAACGCATGGCCGGGTACAGCTAGTTATTGTAATATAAGTAGTGTTCACTTACTATAGAAATATGTTAGCCTATGTGTGAAGAATAAAAATTGAAGAAATATTACAGTAACTAATAAGAATAAAATCCAGTCTTATAGAAATTATTGGGTCTGTGGCAAAGGGAAGGTTCTTCATGCCTTATTTTCTCATTTGTAATGAACTTAGTTGATTTTCAAATGTGTACTAAACGGGCTTAACTAAATTTGTATTTCTATAGGGAGAACCTGGA